TGTTTTTTATGTTCTTCCATAGAGTATCAGCTCACTCGACTTATAAAATCTTTGCAGCGCCTACCTTTGGGCATTCGTGATCATGTTTCTTCTCATGAATGTGCATGGTAACTATCAAGGTTTTAACTCTAAGATCATAGTTTTCCTTGTTCTTTGGCAGGATGGCATACGTACTTTTGGATGGCCTTTCTACCACTAGTGGTAAAGTTTTCAGTTTTTTTCTTTTTTCCTTGTGTCTGTGTGTTCTTACCATGGTCTTGTGTGAATTCCTATATAAGCTCATACTCGTGATTGGCACGAAGCTCCAGTACATAATCACCGAGCTCGCCTGCGAGATAGCGGAGGTGGAGGACAAAGCTGGACGAGAGAGTGAAGAAGTCCCGGCGATCAAACCCCGGGACGATTTGTTCTGGTTCAAACGCCCGCGCTTTCTTCTCCACCTCATTCACTTCACTCTCTTCCAGGTAATGAGTGTCCAGATCGATCAATCGAGCTAAAGTTTTCCTTGTAGAATGCGTTTGAGCTCGCGTTTTTCTTCTGGGTTTGGGTAAGCATGACTTTCCGATTGTTTTGTGAAAAGAAAAAGTGTGGACAAAGAAAGAGTGAGCAGCTTTGCAGGCTACGTTCGGGTTTGATACTTGTTTCATGGACAGCATAGCATTCATCGTGGTTCGTCTCTTTGTCGGGTAAGAAATCTCGTTTTTTCACCCTTCGTAGTAAAATCCTAGAATCTTTCTCCATGCAGAGCAGCCGTGCAGTTCCTGTGCAGCTACAGCACTCTCCCACTCTACGTTCTCGTCACTCAGGTAAAGATCCAACGTTTATCTCACTCGAGAGTAGTTCCTCGCACAGATGGGATCGCACTATAGCAAGGCCATCTTCACGAAACGCATCAACAAGGGCGTGAGGCACTGGCACCACGGAGCAAGATCAAACGTTCGGCAGGCGAGGATCAAGCAGGAGGAGCGCTGCTGCGAGGAGGAGCTCAAAGACGATAACTTGCTGGACGAGATCATCAGCCCGGGCCAAGAAGAAGTGAGTGAGACGGTGGTGGTGGCATCGCCGGTGCATAGAATCCTGGAGATCGAGATGCCTGGAGCTGACGATCAAGACTTCGCAGTAGTGCAAGTGGTGGAAGAAACAAAAGTATAAGAATAAAGGGCCCCCACCTTTAAGAAACCTTTAAAATATCGCCGTTTCCGGGGATCGAACCCGGGTCATCCGCGTGACAGGCGGGGATACTGCCACTATACTACAACGACATTACATTATTAACTAAACATAACAAACATAAGAGAATATACTAGCATAATGTAAGAATAATCATTGTTACGGTTTATATATGACACTACTGGAGCGCTTGTGGGATGCGAAAGATCACGGCATATCTTGACAATTCAATATAAAAATAAATATATGTGTATAATTTTCTTTACTAGCTACCAGAGTATTTAAAATTTACTAGTCGCCATGACAAGTTTATGATTAAAAAAAACATTGCAATTGACAAGAACATCTTAAAATTTAGTATTTGACCAGAAAAAAGGCCAAAAACCAGTATATTTACTGGTCAAAGTCACTCTCTCTAGATTTCCCCCCACATCCAGATCCAAAATTCAAATTCCAGCTTCAAGCACCCTTGCTCTATTCTCAAAAGCCAAGGCTTTGCTTATTGAGCTGCTTGCCATCTTTGAGCCTACACTCCTTTTAGCTCTGCACCAGCAGTAGATAGGATGGTCTGATGCCCTTGGTGGGTCCTCATGACTTGAAATAACTATTACCGCATCTTCTGGAGATGCCAGGAGATGCTTTGATCAAACACCCCCACGGTGTTTGATCATAGCATTTCCTCGCATTTTGCAAATCCCCTGTTTGGCATGATATTCCACGAGAAGGCGTTCTTGTAACGTATGCTGACAGCTCTAAAGTTGCCAAGCTTGAGATGCCGGAATCTCATACCGCCTGGACAAGCTGCTCAAGTCAAAAGACCTCCCTAAATCTCCGTTTTGGGTCTACTCACATTTCTATGCTAATGAGATAGCACCACCTGGAGACAATCATGTCGACATCACGTCGGCCACGTGGACGATCTCGATCCGCAAGATATCATCGCTTTTTTATAAAGAGAAAGCCCCACAATCTTGGCGAGGACAAACTCGCGTGTCTGCGAATTCCACGACTGACGACCAAGCCGCCAAAGCTTATCCTTCTTTTTCTTCAAAGTAAAGAAGGAGATCACTGGAATATTCTGTCACATGAGAGATTCCAGGGGCATATTTCCTCTATACGCCCCAGATTCCTTATCCTGTAAGCTGTGTGTACTCCCTCTTTAAATCTCCTCCCTTGGGCAGCACTTTTCCTTCTCTCTCGCGCTCCTCTTCTTCTTGTTCTTGAGCGATCCATTCATTCCATCCCTCGATCGATGGAGCTGGAGGCGCGGGTGGGGAAGCACGAGATCCGGCTCCCCGCGGAGGTGAATTGGGAGATGCTGGACAAGACCAAGTTCTTTGTTCTTGGCGCCGCCCTCTTCTCGGGCGTCAATGGCATGCTCTATCCATCCATGGTTCTCAAGACGCAGCAACAGGTGATCGGCCCGGCGGCGGCCTCCTCGTCGTCCTCCTCGATCGCGGCGGGGATTCTGAGAAGGCAGGGAATTCTCGGGCTCTACAAGGGTTTCGGCGCATCGCTCATGGGCACCATCCCAGCTCGCGCGATCTACATGAGCACGCTCGAGATCACCAAGAGCGCGCTGGGGTCTCTGGCGGATCGGTCGCCGGCGGCGGCGGCGGCCGCCAACGCTGTGGCGGGCATGAGCGCGGCTATGGCGGCCCAGCTGGTGTGGACGCCAGTGGATGTGATCAGTCAGCGCCTCATGGTCCAGGGCGCCGGGCAGGGGGCGGCGATCGCGACGAACTACAAGGGCGCCATGGACGCGCTCGCCACCATCGCCAGGAACAGTGGCATCCGGGGGCTCTACCGGGGATTTGGGGTCTCGATCATCACGTACGCGCCATCCAATGCCGTGTGGTGGGGATCCTACTCGATCGCGCAGCGATTCATGTGGAAGGGCGCGGCGGCGGTCACGGATCTGGGCGATCGCCGCGAGGATGTGAGCGGTGGTGTGGTGCTGGGCATGCAAGCCGCCAGCGCGGCGATGGCGGGCGGGGTCTCGGCGCTGGTGACGACGCCGCTGGACACGATCAAGACGAGAATGCAAGTGCTCGAGAGTGGGAGGCCTCCGCGATTTGGTACCACTCTGCGAGATCTAGTGTCCGAGGGAGGATGGAGGGCGTGCTACAAGGGATTGGGGCCGAGATGGGCGAGCATGACGCTCTCGGCCACCGCCATGATCACCAGCTACGAGCTTCTCAAGAGACTGTCCGCCAAATCGCAGTGAAGATCCGGGGCGATCATGAGCGAGGATAGCAGCGGAGTGGAGGATTCTCGGCGATTTTGGGCGATGTAAAGCCGCGCGCCAAGAACACGAGAAAGAGTGAGCTCGCGAGAGATAGAATAGAAGGAGAGAGCTTCCTCTTGTCTATACTTTAGACACGTAAATATTTACCACCACTGTTTATAAATCCATAGATCAAACAAATCCAGTCCAAGGTTTTGGTCATAAGAGTTTCAAGCTTCTCAATCGCTCCTCGTCCTCGGCGCTTAACTGCGGAGGAACGTACTCCCCGTGCAAATCCGCTACAATGTACTCCTGGGAAATCAATCAACCCATCGATCATCCTTCTATAAGATCACGAGGGATCAAACTCTACCTTGGTAAGCTCTCGCTTTGTGAGGATATGGTAATGCCGCTGCCAGATTCTTTGGATTGCCATGGTAGCGGCGAGGAGGCCGTAAGCCACCCCCAGGATCACGAACAGGATCACGAAGATCACCAAAAACGCACCGCAAGCTTCCATGGAAGCTGGGAAGCAATCCATGATGTAGCATCCCGAGCAGTAGCGACAGTCCGCTAGAAACGAATCGTGGTGGCTTGCCGACGAGCAGTGGACGATGAGTCCACCGACTCCCACGATCACGAAGAAGACCACGACGCCTGTGGATAACAGCAAAGAGCATAGATGAAAAATCAAAGATGATGAAGCTCATGGTGAATCGAGACTACCGAGTACCTAGGCAGTAGTAAAACGCTACCGGGTGCTGTGACAAGATCTTGTCCCAGCCAACGTTGAAAGATTCGCGAAACTGGCCGTCGGAGTCCATGAGATACGCAAGAGCTCCGAGGAAAGCAACCGTCTGGTATGAATCAAGAGAAAAAGTTTAGCACGAAGTGTGTGACAGATCTTCTTGTTTCACTCACAGATTGGACGGCTAGAAAAACGAGAAAAACGTCCCGCGCGACGAACAGCTTGAACTTTAGCTTTCTCCACGAGTAGTCCTCTGGGATCTCGGGAACTAGATGGAACTGAGCTTTACAAGTCGTGCAATGCGAGAAAGCAAAGCCTTCCTGCGAAAAACAAAGAAAACCACTGTTTCATTCGGTGTTTAAGAAGGAAAAAATGTGCTAGGAAGAGTTCTTACCTTGACCGAGCGCCAGTGATCGAGGCATGATCGATGGACGAACTGTTGAGTCCCCTTGCACATACAAGGAGAGATCAATTCATCGCCTGGAACGCACCAAGGGGAAAAAACCAAAGAAGAATTTTCTTACTTAGCACGGAAGAAAGATCGATTCTAGCAAAGACTTACCGGGCTCTCCAGAGTCGCACTCGAGGCAAATTCTACAGCTTGGCGCGCAGCCAAGCCCTTGCTCCTCGTCGTCGCTCAGGGATTTCGGTGCCGCCATCGCCTCCAGCACCGGCGGAGCTCGCAGTGGCTCTAGAATCTCATCGCTCCTGCTGGTGCTCACCGATTCCACGATCAGAGGCTCCAATTCCCTCTCCTTCCCCTCTTCCGTGCTCGCCATTCTCTCTCACTTTCACTGCCCGACCTAAGTAAAATAGCATATTCGGCAAGGTGCTAAAGTAGTCCTTTAAATTTGCCCTAAATTCCCCATCTGTGTTCTAGGGCTCTTCGCGATGGTGAGTGTGCGCGTTTTGATCGATCATAGCATTGATCTCTTTTGATTTCCAGGTGTGTATCGCGTGCTTGCTGCCGATCTTCCTTCTCCCTCTAGTCAACATTCTCCCTCGTCTCTTCGATTTCTTCATGGTATGCTCAATTTCTCGCGAGGAATTCTCGACGATTTCGTCTCCCATTCTGTGCTTCCAGGCCAAATTCTATCGCGTTTTTAGGCAGGATTATAAGCCGCCAGCTCGAGCGCCGGCGCAGTGCCCCATTCCATCCATGAGAAAGGTTTGATTCATTCGCCGGGAAGAAAAATTCGTGATCTCTCTGGATTTCCAGGAAGGAAGCAAAGAGGGAGAATCTCCGCCCGTGGACGATACAAAGAAAGAATAATATAAACAGTGTAAAAGCCCCGGGTTAACATGATGCCCCTTCTTTTTCATCGTCTCGTCTATTAGGGCATAGCTGAAGCTATGGGTATGGAGCTCGAGCAATGCGAGGAGCAAGGAGGAGCGCGCGTCGAGGATCTTCATCCCGAATCGAGGCCCAGCATTCTCTGCGTTGGCGCGGCGGGCGTCGGCAAGACGACGATCGCGAATCGTGAGTAATCGCATGAGATTTCTAGTTCTTCTGTCAGATCTAAGCTCGGCGGCAATTCAGGGTTGAGGCGCGATCGCGAGGTAATTGACGCATCGTCAGGAGCGATCACATGCTATGGGTACGCTGTTAGATCGCACTAGCGCCGAGATTTACATGAGTTTTCTTCTTCGCGTAAAAGCTGGAAAATCGACACCAAGTACTACACTGCAAATGTAGGAATCTGGACGGCTCGGCTGGAGCAAGAACAAACTGACGAGGTTGTGAAGAGACTGGAATCTCTGAGTGGACAGTGCGAAGCGCTCGTCATGGTTTTTGATCTTAGCAACGTAAGCGCATTTCTTTTCTTCTCCGTCTTATCGAACTTGTATTGTGTTTATAGGATTCTTCGTTTGATCGACTAAAGAACTGGGCGTCCAGAGCAGACTTGACCGCGTTTGAGATACTCCTTTGCGTTGGAAACAAAGCCGACCGTTTGCCGCAACACTATGGCCACGTCGAGTACCGCCGGAGGCTACAAAGGCTTGGAGAGTCGTCCAGTGATCCTCATCCCGAGTTTCTGGAATTCGGGATACAAAGGAACGAAGGAAGCTCGTTGCTTGACGACGAAGAGGTCGAGCTCGCAGGGCCAGCTCCCCCAGTTGACGAGAAGAAGCATAGCAGGATCGAGTGGTGCATCGAGAATGGCATCGAGTACATTGAGGCGTGTGCACTGAACGTTGCCTTTGACGACTGTAAGCACTGCTTCCTTCTATCGCTTTTCTAGCTTTACGCTTTTCCTTCTCAGGTTTGTCATTGGATGGAGATTTGCAAGGTGTGTCCCGCATTCGAGGAGCACTGTCGGCTCACATGTGGCCGGGGATGGTGATGAAGCCAACTCCCAGCAAAGCGACCAGTGAAGCTCAAGCTTGCACACAAGGAGGTGAGAAAGAAATCTCCAAAATACCGTCACGAGCACGATCTTGTATTCGCGTAGATCCTTCGAGCGACGAGGAGTCCGACTTTACCATCGAGTACGAGCTTCTCTCGAGTGTATCAGACGACGAAGCCTTTGCCGCTGAGAGCGAAAGCCACCACCGCGAGGATCAAGCGACCGATAGCAGTGTCCTTGAAGCAGCATCAGTGACAGGGCAAGAAGCTACTGCCGATGCGAGCGAAGAACATGCTGGAGGAGTTAGCGGTGCTTCAGAAACAACACTAGCTGGAGACGATGGTGGAGCTCACGGCGATGGAGAAGAAGAAGTCGGGCATAACAATGGACACGAAGCTTCGCAAGTTCGAAGCTCCGGCAATGGCAGCGAAGCGTATAGAATGGACGAGTTTGAGCAGCTGATGCAGGAGATGGCGGGTATGCGAGAGAATCTCAGTATGATGCCGGACGCACAGCGGCGAGAGATCGCCTCCCAGATCGCGATGAGAATGGCGTCCATGTTTATGGACGACGACGACGACGAATGATCGATCATAATAGAAGAAGAAAACTTTACTCGAAACTTCAAGACTTAGAAATCAAAGCTAAAGTCCTTGCTTGGCACCAGAAGACCTCGGCGTTCCTCGGCAGCTTTTCCACGATCCTGCTCCTACTCAAACATGTTCTTCTCGTCTCGCACAAACTCGGCGAATGGAAACGTCCATGGCGCCGTGCTCCCCCGGATTGATCCTCTTCATCGCCCTCAATCCAAGTTCATAGACGAGTTCGAGTGAGTCTCTTCGTGCCTGTAGCCTCTCCCACCATACCACTGCATGGCGCTCAAAGCCTCCGTCAGCGTGAGATGGAGATCATGCCCAGCATCCTCACGATCCTGTTCTCCATCACGATCTCGTAGTGCCGGAAGTTCTTGTCGGCCCCGCGGCGAAGATGAGACACCACCTGCATGAAGTTCCGATCCTCCCCGGCCAGAGGTTGTCCACCATGATGGTGCGCTCCAGATCCAAACCTTCCAGCAGGCATGCGAGTCCCTTCCTCTGGATCACTGACTTGTATCGAGTGTGTAGATCTCCCTGGTTCTCAAGCTTGGCTTTGATCATCTAAGCATTGGTGTTATTTCTATGTCATGAATCCAGCTTTAGCTTCACGGAGCCGAGAACATTAAAGAAAGCTATGACGAAGGCGATGAAAGTAGAGGTGTAGAAATCCAACTCTCAGTCCATGCTGATAGAGCTGACGAACTTCAAAGCTCTCTCACCAATGCATGCAGAGGAGGCACCACAATTCAGCGAGCTACAACAATGAAATCCATCTGACTTAAGGTTTAGAGCTAACTAGATTTCAAAGAGCAAACAGGACTGATCATGGATCATATAAAATCTCTCCAAGCATCTGAAGCTTGCTTGATTTGCAAGTTTCTGATTGCTATTTTGTAGACTTTCCTTGTTCTTTTCGTTTGCTGATCGAGTCTTTGCACGGCTCTCTCATCCAAGCGCAAGGATGTTGCCGTCAAACAAGGAGCAAGAAATTGCAGAGATGAAGGCAAGTTTCTCTTCAATGTTTTATTCTTCAGTTAAAACTGTGTTGGGCACTTCAGACTCTCGTCCACGATTTGAAGCTTTCTTTGAGGCCTCCAACGTTTCAGGTACTCATGCATTCTCCAGGCTAGATAGCGATCTTACAACTTCCATACATGCAGAATTTACATGTACACTTGCAATACATGTGAACGAGCGTGTTCCCGATCTCTTGCGAGAATTTGCCCCCAAATCGTTGCAAGACACTGCCGTGAATCTTTCTTCCCTCTTCCACATCCTTGACGCTCGAGCAAGCCCCAAGCACGCTCACATACGTGATCTCATTGGGAATCACTAAAGATTAATGTGTTTCATTCAATGGTAACATTATATGAGGTTGTGACTTTCAAAGTTTAGAATTGCAGAAAAAAAAGCCAAGCACTTGATGTATTGTGTTGATTTTGCTTCTTTTATTATTTTATACTGCTTGTGATGGCTTGATTGTTTTGAATTTGATTTGATCAACAAGAAAAACTACCAAAGTGATTTCATTTGAAATTGAAAATATCACCACATCTAGATTTCTCAAATTGACACTTTTAGAACATTATTATTTTTTCCTTTCACTGATATTGCTTATAAAACCTCTATTGCCTCTGGCTGCTCCTCCTAAGAATCCTTCTCAAACACATAATCTTCATTGTCCACATTATAAAGAATTTGACTCATTTCATTGTTACTTATTTGAATTTCTGCCAAGTCCTCCTTGTTCTAGCTGCTCCAAAACTTCTTCAAATGTGAGATCTAGCATCTCCTCATCTCAGATTTGACAACAGAATTTCAATTATCTCTTTGTCATTCACTGGTATTTCTGCCATTTTAAAGATCATAATAGGGGTGTGTTCCTTTTCGTGTGCAACTTCATTCTCCTCAAGCAATGCTATGATATTAAACCATTGATATAGAGATCTTCCACATCCTGCATGTGAATCACTACCCCAGCTTTATCAGTCTGTTGACCATTCTGTTTCGCTTCACTGCGAACCCTTTACTCATATAGTCTTGAACTGGAGCATGTTTGAGCTTCTTGTCTTAATGTGCCATGTCTTCCTAAGTGGTTTAATCTTGGCTGCTTCATATATGTGAGTTTTGTTTTTCCACTATAGGTAAATTTTTTCTTGCATTAACTGCAATGGTACTTTGGCTAGCTAATGTTGTCATTGCTGAAGTAATTGAAGTTGCCACATTCACTTTGATTGCACTTTGTATAAGTCAAGTGTTGCTCTTTCAGGTATGTCATCAACTTCCACACTTCCAAACTGAAAGCCACTCTATTTGGGAGGAGGAAGCAAACAATGGGTACTTTTGGAGAAGATAAAACTCCTTGTACACTTTGCTGCTCTTCTTTAGCATCACATGAGTGTGTTTAAAGCTAACTTTGGGTAAAGGGAGTTTTATTAAACATCTGTTAATTTCTACCTTTATATCTAGCATATTCTTATAATTTTAATGTTACTGAGTGAAGTCATTGGGTAGTTTTGGAGAAGATGGAGCTCCTTGTACACCTTCCTTGGCTCAAAAAGATGAATGCTTTAAGTGAAACAGCTTAAAGGCCCACTAGTTTTAGAAAATAAAGGTCCTTTAGTTTTTTAAAATGGTGTTGTTGGAATTCAAAGATCAAAATTTGATCTTAACTTATTTGGAATATGCATACACATCCAAATATTTTTTGAAGAAAGCTTTGGATTGGTTTATATTAACCACTTCATAATCTGTTTTATGTATTTTATATCAATGGAACGTTAAGAATTTGGAATGTTTCTGAGGTAAGAAAATAGTTACTCTCTTCCGGTTCAATAAGTACTCTGAGAAGATAAAGAGGTTCTTGTTGAGTTGTGCTATTTGTAACTTTGTTTTGGCTAGAAGACAAGAGCGAGAAGGCCAGAGTTTCCCAACGTATGCTACAGTCACTACTCGTTCTACTTGGGAAGAGTATCATCCAAGTCGAACGAGATATCAATTATAACTCTCACTGAAACCCCAGGATGGATGTGTATATATATATATGATGAAAAGGTAAAATCCTTTTTACATACCTCACGTTTCGACTTCACAATAGTTACTCTCGAGAGCTGAACTCAGTAATCGATTGGTGACAGAAGAGATTAATCACGAAGGAGAATGGACAACTTGCCAGAGACGATGATCGTGTTGTAGTACGATAGCACGGGCTCTATGTTTATATGACATGATAGAGACACCGTTTCCTGATTGATCTTGGTTAGAAGGCCAACGAGAAAGAAATGATAGAACTTTGGCTTACCTTTTAAAAATAGCTGGAGACCTCCTGGATCATTGACAACTGCGCTAGAACTTTGCCAGCTTTCTTCTTCACAGTGACCGATCCGTGCTGCGCCAGTTCCACCAGAGGGAGCTTTGCTCGCCCGCAATAAGTTTCTCTCATATTCTTTAGTTTGAAGAGGCACGCCAGGAGATCGACCGTGCGCTCCTTGGCCGTGGCTGTCCCGTGAGCGAGCAAGCCCAGTGATTTGAGGATTGCGTTTGCTTCGTGAAGAAACCAGGCCCCGCGTTCTCTAGTTTCTTCACTGGAGACAAAAGTGAAGAAAGCCTCTACTGCTGCTTCGGCGGCAACGCTGCTTGGCTCGTCCAGTAGAGCAACCAGACCCGGAACCGCCCTGGCTTCCACGATGCAAAACGTGGTCTTGACGCTGCATACTCCGGTGTGGACCTTGCAAATCGCTGGCACTGTCGGCCGGAAACAAAGCCATCCTGTGCTCGTTGGCGGATGGCACAAGTCTAGTGTGGTCAGGGAGAAGTTCCTCAGGGCTCGTGCTGCTCTTGCCTTCCCTGTTGTGGTTCCCGAGTTGAGGATCGTCACCAGGACAGAATGGATCCCCGAGTCCACCAAAGTCCTCTGGAGCTCTACGTTAGTTGGCTCCGTGAACCTCTCGAGCGCAGCGAGAGCACTCTCAGTGACTTTGGAGCTGTCGCCTTTCACCTGGGCCAGCACCGTGGTCACAGCTCCAGCCTCCATCAGTGTCTCCATGGTTTGCTTGTTGCTCGGGAAGCTCGCCAGTACCATTAAAAGATCTGCTCGGATGTCTGCGGAAGAACAGTTGCCGATCAAGTTAACGAAGTGTTCCAGCTTCTTCTCGGTGTACAGGCAGTCGAAAATGTCGCCTCCAGCTCCTTCCGACATGGAGCGAAGCAGGAACACAGCCGAGTCACGGACTTCTCTCTCGGCTCCATCGAGCAGCCCAACCAGAAAAGCTACTCCTTGCTGTTCCTTTATCACTTCCTGTACTAGTTCCCCGTCTTTTGATTGTGCCAGTCCATGAAGTACCAGGAGAATAGGTGCCCGAAGAATCAAGCCGTGCGAGGAGCTTTCCATGAGACCGATGAGCGTCTCGACGGCCTGTTTTACGTTCACTGCGTGCCCATCCCGGTCAGTGAGCGATGCGTCCGTATTTCCTTGCGCTATATTCTTGAGAGTTATTGCTGCAGCTTCTTTGCAAGTCTGAGGGAGCCTGGGAGACGTCAGATTGTCCATGAGAACGGGAAATCCACCAGCTTGTGCCATGCTTCGCTGGTTCTGAGAGTTTGACGACAGATTCCTCAACGCCTCCAACGCAGTAGCTTTTGCTTCGAGTTTATCGCTTATCATCATCTGGAGGAGAGGACCGATGACTCCTTTCTCTCCAAGCATGAGCTTGTTTTGATCCGACAGAGACTCGAGGTTCCCAAGGGCTCGAGCCATAGCCAACTTCGATTCCTCACTACCTGTACAAGACCTGGCAAGGTTAGGAAACCAAAAAGAAGAAAAGAAATGACGGACCTTCAAGTAAGGACGATATCAGTGGATCAAAGTAGCTCATGGATGCCATTTGCACAATGTTCTCATTGCTGCTGCAAAGCTTCTCAAGGACAGGTTTTGCTGTCGGCTCGTTCTCATTGTGGAGCATCACGAGATGTAAGACGGCGCTCTTTTCTTGGCAGAGCTTCTCGCAAACAGATCTTTCATCCCCTTGCAGAAGCTCCAGCAATACCGACAGCGCCAGCTTTTTTAACGTACTCTTCCCGAGGCATCGAACGACTTGTTCCAGTCCGCCAACCTGGACAACTTCATCCTGGAGTAGAAAAAGCGCAAGCATAACTTATACATGAAGTAGACAGAAAGAAGAGACGAAGATACGTACTCTGTTTCTAAAATTGTTGTGCACGAGAATCCGCAGAGCTGTGAGAGCTCTCCTTTGGACCTCCTTGTCACGCAGCTTCATCACCTCAATGATCTCCGGAATAACATTCTCTGCGGCGATCCACTCCGTGTTCGTGTTGCTCTCCTCGCACAGCTTGCACAAATCATCCAGAGCATTCTGCGCCAGTGCCACGTCCCTCTTTTGGAGAAAATGCTTCGCTCGACGAATCCGTATGCAGTAGTTCTGATCCGTCCACTCCTGGATAGCCTTCCTCAGCGAAGTGTTGGGCCTCAGCGTGAAATCCGTAAGTTCCATATGAGTGAAAGGGTCCGACGTGTGGCCGCTCGCAAACCACCTTTCGATCTCACTTCGCTCGTAAGTCCGGTTGCTCGAAGCAGTCACTGGATCGATCATAACCTCACGCGCGAGCGGACAGATGAAGGAGCTCAGTGGATCAACCGGCTCAGTGATTCCAATGTGCTCGGACGCCTCCTTGTACCGCTGTCTTAGAACATCTGACGTGTAGGCAGCGTCGGCCTTGGACAGAAGATCGATCACTTGCTCCATGAAAGCCTGCTCCTGCATTTGCTTTCGCTCAGCCAGCAGCTCCTTCTCTCTTTTAAAGCTCGAGAGCTCCTTGTTGATCTCGGATGGCTCCACTGGAACTCCCACGGCCATGGCGATGGCGACGATAAGATCGTTGGCGAAGCCCTGGTCCGTCCTGTGATCCCGGATCCCCTCCTCGAGCTTGCTGAGTATCTGTAACTTTGTCTCGGACGCCTGGAACTCAGCGCTCAAGAACTGGTTCTTGACTCTCAAGAGGTTGTCCCGGATATCAAGCGAGAGCTCCGTCCCGGCCAGGGACAAGAGCTCCAGATCCTTGCCGATATCGCGAGTCACCACCTGTGCGTCCTTGACGATGGAGCGGCAATGGAGCAGCAAGTAGAACTTGGACTTGTCCGTGCAATCGCTTACCAGCGTGTGCGCTCGATCCAGGTCGGTCTTGAGCGACTGGAGCGCCTGGTTGGCTGCCGTGAGATCCTTGAAGCAGCGCTCCTTGAGCTCCGCGAGCACGGGCTCGATGTCGTGGAGGTAGCGCGAAAGCTTCTGGAAGCTCTCCTTCTCCACCAGGACATCCTTGGCGGCGATGGCAATCTCCAGCACCTGTGTGGTGATGAGCGTCAAGAGCGTGCTGATGGGGATGACCTCGATTCCAATCATCGTGGCGCTGCTCCTCGCATTGACTAGAAATCCAAGCCCCAATTACCCTGATCCCCGTTGCGATGCGTGATCGAAATCTCTTCCTCTCCCGAGCCGCAGCTAGCAGATGATCGCGCGAGATAGCGATAAAACCCTAGCCCACGCAAAAATGCCGCGCTTTTCTTCCTAGGGTTCTTGGCGCGATGGGGCTCCGGCTTGATCTCCCTTACCTCGTCTCCAAGAAGGGCCACGTCCTGTCGCCGCGGCCGATTGGAGTGAAGAAGCTCAAAATCCCCAAGCGCGTCTTCTTCATGCTCGGCTATCCGGTATGTGGATCGATCGCATTGTCGATCGACTGGCTAAATCACTGCTCCAGGGCACGGGCAAGTCTACCGCGATCGCGTCTATCCTTGAGAAGCTCAGGAAGAATCACCCCAGGCTGCGAGTCCAGGGCTTCTACCAGAGTAGGAACTATTTGTCTGGCGCTTTATAAATGCTGTAGCTCTGACCGTGCGTTCTTTTGTCCTGGAAGAACCATTGCTTCGCAGGGGTGAGAACATTGGCGTGGAATCGGTCTCGGTGAATGGCCCCAGCAAGATCTTCACGTCAACATATCCCATTCCGTGTGAGAAGATTTTCGATTTTCATTCTCTTTTTTGACATGGAAACGCGTTTTTTGTTCATTCTTTTTCTTCCTTAGGTGGTCCGCGACACGGACTCCGCCATTTCTGGGAAAGCATAGGATCGACATTGGAGCTTTCGAATCCATCGCTTTACCGGAGTTAAAAGTATGTTTACTGAATCGAGCGCGATTGAGCAAAGTTTGATTTTTTTTTTTTTTTCTTGTGTGTGTGTGCAGCTACACTACGAGACCGAGCTCTTTGTCGTGGACGAAGTGGGAGTGAAGGAACTAATGTCTCCAAAGTTTTATCCTTTGCTCCAAGACGTGCTCAACTCCGAGGTTCCGATACTGGGAGCTTTGCAACGGAATTGCTACTGGGAGGACGAGATCAAACAAGGTTCTGCTTTGTCAAATCAAATTCCGGTTCCTAAAAGTGAAACTTTTGGCAGTGGAGGAGATCAAGAAACGCAAAGACACGCTGATCTACAAAATCTACAAGAAGACCACGAACCACACAGCAAAGCTGGTGTACCAAAGGCTAAACCAGTTTTTCCTCTACAGGAAAGAGGAAGGCCGAGATCACATCCGGAGAAGTCACTGATCGTGTTCATAATCAAATGGTACACTTTTCTCCTCCTTTCCATCCTTTGATTGATCCCGTGCTGCGGTATATCACATCAACGCGAAAGTTTTGCTTGTCTCATCAGAAGGTAAACTTGTTCTTCCCGATTGATCTTGTTTTTAACTTCGAAACTTCAGCTAGACGCGAGCTGGTCTCGAAAGCCCCATGCCGGTGCCACTACCAACATGCTTGAACGTCTTGGCTTCCAGATTTTCATCGTGACCAGCGAAACCAGTGCCACCTTTCTCCAGCGTCACCATGTTCTTGGCCTTGCACGGCCGGTTACACACCGAGCAAGCCTTCTCCGGGATGATGAACTGCTCGGCACACTTCTTACACAGGACGTGACCGCAGCTATTGATCACCACCAGCGTCGTCCTGTTCGTCAGCGTGGTGGAACACGAAGGACACATATACCGGTTCTCTTCCGTGTCCTTCCCTTCCGGGTCGACGATCTCGCTGAAAGAAATCGTGAAGAGCTGCTTGAGCTTGAGCTTCTCCTTCCCTTCCGGACAGATCGTATCAGTCGATGGAGCGTCGATTCTCTCGGCAGCCTCTGGAGTCGCCGATGGAAGCCAGAAAGCTTTCATGCTTTTCAGCGCCTCCTCTTCGTAAGACGTGACTTTGACGCTGTTGGCTCCCTGGAATCCAGCCTTGGCGTCGCCAAAGTCGTGGTTCTTGTCGTGGTGAGGCACCGCGCTGTTGTTCTGGCGATCGAATGCCTCGAGCGCGCGCTCCTTCTCGAGATTTCGCCGCTCCAGCTCGTCCTCTTGATCCTTCTTTTGCTGCGTCGCGAACAACGCGATCTTCCTGTAGCGCCCACAAAGGCGTTGCAAAATCTATCCTTTCCCCAAGCACAAATCAAGGAAAATCCATACCTCTTGATGTCCTTCTTCTGAGCTAGCAGGGACTCGAGAATGCACTCCTTGCAGAAGAGATGGCCCTTTTGGCAGCACTGCGGATCGGTGAGGCGCTTAAGGCAAATGCAGCAGGCATCGAATGGCTTGATCGAATCCTTGCCCAGCCGCTCCTTCTGCGTGCCATAGCCAAGCTTGCGCCGCTCATCGTATGTGAAGAATGCGAGATCGTTGTTGTTCTTGGAGTGGCGCTGCGGCATCCTTCCTCTCCTCAAGCCCTAGAAATTCAAGGAATCAAAACAGAATAAACCCTTAAAACTATATGGACTAAAAAATTGCAATTCCATTGCCGGGATTTGAACCCGGGTCGCCTGGGTGAAAGCCAGGTATCCTGACCGGACTAGACGACAATGGATGGTGTGAAGTTTTTGAATTTTCTTCACTACAGCCGATATAGCTTTAACCCATTTTAACTTAGTAGACAGATCTTCGCGGCTTTTTTACTTTCTTTTTAACTCTTCTCTTCATGGAAATTCACCATCGCTCTCAAACTCGTCGGATGAAACATCTCCTCCCACTAAGTTATCGTCCGTGTCGGTTTTGTCGTCCTTGCCTCCAAACTCGTCCTCGGTGAAGTCTTGGTACTCGGCTGGATTGGACTTTGGCCGCGGAGGCTCTCTCTTCTTGTGCTTGAGTGGAGGCGCCACAAACGCGATCTTTTCCACCAGTCCAGCCACGTCCGACTCTTGGCGCATCTTCTCCAGTCGAGCAGCCAGTCTGCTCATATGAGCTTCCAGAGCTTCTTTGCTTTGATTGTATCTAGCCCTGTACAAAGCCTGGAAGGAAAAAACACAGCAATGTTTCAGTGTGATCTAGAGAAACTTGGTAGAACCAAAAGGCGATGATCTAGCAAAACCGCTGGAGGACTTGAGACAAGAAGAACGATCAAGCAAAACGGTGATGTGTTTCAGTGTGATCTAGAGAAACTTGGTACAACCAAAAGACGATGATCTAGCAAAACAGCTAGAGGACTTAGAGAAAACAAAAGAAGATAAAGAAGTTGAGTGACAAGAAGAACGATCAAGCAAAATGGTGGAGTTGATCTAGCGTGAAAGAATCGGAGAACTTGAGAGAAAGAGTGAGAGCTACTTACATTTCTCTTGGAGAGCTGGTTCTCGGGAATTAGCTCGTTTGGCTGCCTGTAGTTCCTGCCTCGGTACATGTAGACAGTGGTGCCTATGATGTCTACAACGATGCCTCCGCTCAGTCTCGCCAGCTCGGCCGCCATGTCTTTGATCTTGCTCTTGTGGAACATATGGAGGTCGATCTGGCACGTCTCGTGGAACTTCCAGTGCTGGTGGATGTTTTCGATGGTTCCACCAAAAATCCCTCGCACTCCAACCGGAACGTAGTTCCTGTTCATGTTTGCGAGCTTCTTGAGCGAGTAGAGCTGCTCTGGCGTGAGTATTTCTGGATCGTGCTCGGACTCCTCGTCCGGTGGAAGTTTCAGGCTCTCGAGCCGCTGCTTTTGGAGAGCAAGCTTCCGTCTAGTCTGCAAGGTGAAGAAGAAAAAGAAAAGGAGTTAGAACACCTGAGATCATAGAAAACAAATGGAAGTACCAATTCGAGCCTCCACATAAGCTTTGCTTCCGGGGTCATGTTGTGCTGCCTAAACGCTCCTCTCTCACGGAGGAGCTTCGCATTCTCGATCGCTCGCCTTTTCTTCTCGTTCTCGTTTAGATTCAATCCAACGTACTCGCCAGTTTGTGGGTTCGTCCACCTTGCTTGAGCCTCCATGCACGAACTTGTCACAAAAGTTCGACAGAAGAATCGTTTTCCCTGCTCTGTCGCTGACGAGAACGAAGATATGGCGATGGAGTTCGTAACGACCTCGTTTTTCCCTGTGAGAACTTAGAACCATAAACACAATCGAAACTTCCAAAGATCATACCTCTTCTTGGATCGAAAATGGATACATGCTCGTTTTTTCCTGCAAGAAGCCTGCTATTAAGAACAATAGCCATGAACATATCAAGTTATACCTCTGGATTCTCGAGAAAAAATTCCTCTCCAGGCCAATCTGATCGATCCTGTGATGCGAATCCATCACGAAATCGGCACAAAGAGCTAGAATCTGCGCATACCTTGTCGTGATCGTGAGACAGTGCTCCACATTCTCCGCCCCGGAGCATCAAAACCCTAAACCTTTGGCATTACGAATAACCCTAGCAGGGATTTTGGAGGGAGGGAGAGGGCTGGCGATTTCGTCTCGAAAGATCGACTCCTCGGCGACTGGAGCACAGCGCCATGGTAGATTCCATCTTCGGTGAGCTTCTTGGCACGGCGTCCTGGTGAATCGCTTCCAGATCGGTGCTAGGGCGCCTACATTCAAGAAAGATCCAGGTCTGGACACCGCATTCTTGCGCAGCGTCTTGCGATGGCTGGATAGATCGACAAGGGTCGCGATGGAGCATCAGCAGGAGCCAGTCTTGGAAAAGGATTTGCACGAATTGCGGCAGGAGCTAGAGAAATCGATCGCCTCGGACACGCATACGTCGCTGGCGGCTAATATGCTGCTGGATGTTCCCATCGCCGACGGGAGTGGTGGAGGCTCTGTGGTCTCGGGGATTGATCGTGAGCCAGCGGTTGTCGTGCAGATGATTGGGAGCGTCCAAGGAGGTGATGCTGCTACTCCAGCTCCTGCTGGTGGTACGTGATCGATCGTTCCTTAGCTTAGCTTTGATAAGTTTTCTAACTGCGTGCTTTGTGAAGAACAACCATCTTCATTCCCTGGAGAAGACCAAGAACAACAGGTTCTTCGATTTATCACTGAGTTTCTTCGATTCTTAAAGCAGATTTTAGCTGCAGAGAAGCAAATATGGAGAAGGAAATGCCTTGAAAGGAAATAAGTTGGCTAAGAAGTTTGGAAGAAAGGTCTATATTGGGAACGTCATTGGCTTTGATCCTGAAAGACAATGGTACAAGGTATGAGTCTCATCTAAACTGTCTGCAATAGTGCCCATTCGGCTGTTGTGAAATGTGATAGGTTGAATATGAAGATGGCGACCAGGAGGAACTTTGGTGGTGGGAGCTGGAACCTTTATTGATTCAATATGAAAAACGAATGGAATCAATGACAAAGAAAAGATCACGGTCCGAAGGAGATAAAATAGCGTAAGAAACCTTTGATTTTTGAGCTTATGACATGTTTTGATAGTCAGGCTAAGCGGATGAGAGATCCGGACGAAGAATATCTAGAGCTGGTAGAGGAGCTCAGTATGTTCTCCTCGTCTTCAGGAACTTCTGAAGACGATGATTGGGATAGGGATATCAAGAAGACACCGAGATCCAAAAGATCGGGAAAGAAACGAAAGGCGGAAAGCTTGCAAGCTGAAAGAGGGAGCGTGTCTACTGAAAGTATACAGGCTGCCTCCGAGGAAGCTGCTACTGAATCCGTTAGCCGGAGAGTAGTCAGATCAAAAAGCTCCTCGGGGAATGAGAACGGCTTCAGCTTGATCGGAAGAGAAACCAGGAAAGTTTTTAAAGGAAGAAATTATATAGGCAAAGTTATTGAGTTCGATCCGGAGGCAAAGTTTTACAAGGTGCGTGTTTCTCTCTAAGTCAATCTCCTCCTAATTTATTCTTTTATTATGTCTGCCACAGGTTGTATATGAGGATGGGGACTCGGAGGAGCTTGAGTGGAAGGAGTTAAAGGCTACATTAGTTTCCAACGACGGCAAATTGCTTGTCAGCAATGGCCATGTTGAAACAGAATCCAAACAGTCCAGCAATCCGTCCAGCAACAGATCCGTAGATGACACAGAGGTGAATGAACATACTCCAAGGAGGTACCTACGTTAGTTCGCTGCTTAGTCCTTCCCCTGATATTACCATATTGTACAGGGGAGGAAAAAAGCTGGATGAGATGCCTCTGACAAGCTCTCAAGTCAAGTATCCAGGCGCATTGCATCCAGCGTTTGAAAGAGCCCGTTTCTTGGAAAATAACACTGAAAAACTGGAGTATTTTGCATGGGGCGAAGTTGTCGCTTTCGACAAAGCTAAGTGTCCCGATCTGAAAGCTATGGGGACTCTGCCAACAAAGTCTCCCATTGTTCATTTAGCCGTAAGTAGTTCAATTTCATCGTTTACGTCTAATACATATAAACAATTTCAGGCAAGCCAGCATCATCTTGCTGTGTTAACAGCTGCGGGACAGGTTTTTGTTTGGCGAAACAAGCATGGAAATATTACTGAGCGTTGCGATGCATGGGAACATATTTCCAGTCTGGATGATAAAACTATAGTTTTGGTTGACATTGCTGGACCAGAGTTGGAGAGATCATCGGCAGGTTACTCTTCTCATCAAGAAGACCAGGTGAATTGTCAAAGCTTTTCGGCAACATTTTTAACGCACTCTACAGGTTCCAGATCCTTTTTTCCTAGCTGCGGTGTCTTATAATGGAAATGAGTACGTTCTTCAAGGTTCTCAGCCTCATGAACCTGTATGTATTAGATTGCTGTTCTTTATCTGACATATTACCTCCTGAAGGTTCATACTTATTCTTTGTTGGAGGAATTCCAGTATCCAAGCCTTGAAGATTTATTGAAATTGAATGACACGACTGTGAACAATTTGGGCCGGATTTCTCAAGTGGCTGTTGGAACCGTTGACGCATTTGACGAGCCTCCATTCATCGGGTACATGTGGCTTCAAGTTATGCACGCTTAACATAGTTGCAATGCAGGTACATTATGGACACCGATCGCGTTTATATTAGATCTGCAACGAAGGACTTCATGGAAGAAGTGAACCACATCACAGGATTTTCGGGAAGGCCTTTGAAAATCCAGGTAGTCTATGCGTCTATTTAGTTATCTTCTTATCGTGATAATTTTAGTGTGGAAGTGCATATCACGCTATTATTCTGACTGATGATGGTCGGGCCTGGACTTGGGGTCGTGGTTATTTCCCCGGCACCGGCAATGCAACATTTTCTGTATGTCAACCTGCTCTTGGCAGTCTAGTCAACCGAAAGGTTTCTGGTTTTGTTTTTATAAATCTTTGTGTAGTAACATTTCAGTAACAGGTTGTGGATATTGCTTGCTGTGGTCAGAACTTTATAGCTCTAACAGATGACGGTGAAGTTCACCAATGGACTCACGGACTTCCCAATTCCTTCCTCGGCGTTGAGAATTCACCAAAATCAGCTTTAAAAGTTCCAACAGAGGACAAGCTACAGAAGGTTGCACTTGGAGTCGGGGTAGTCGCTGGAATTTCTAGCGCGGGAAAGCTCCATACCTGGAAGACTTCTCTTGGACACCCAACCTCTGCCAAATGCGCTACACCGCTGAGTCGTGATGAGAAAAGTAAAGATACCTCTGTTGCTGCACTAGGTATGTATTTTCGGATTTGAGCTACCTAGTTCACGGTCGCTACTTAACTGTAGGGACGAGATCTATGCTAAAAGTCTTCTGCGTTGCTGGCTCGTCAATAGCAGTCGGGCGAAAGAAGCCACGAGGAAGGCCTGCCATTGGAAAAGACCCCTGAAGGTGGTGTACACTTATTGTTGCTATTTCTTACTCTTCTTTTCCTCCAGGCAGAAGATTAGTATGTACAATACAGATTGACTCAAGGTGACTACTTTGTCCAGTTTTGTATGCAAAATTACAGCAATATAGAATTCAACTAATTGCTTTTGGCAAGCTCTTTGGAAATACTCAGCTACCAACAATCGCGGCAAGAACAAAATCCGTTCTCGAAGTGGTGAAACCTGGTGGCGTCCCTGACAGCAATTTTTCTGTTTAAATGTTTGGACAGAAACTTGATGACGTTATGGCAGTCCGAGCAGACTCTGAGGTTCTTGACGATGCAAAGAGACGCCTCGGGTGGAGTGTTGAGAACTCCAAAGGCAAGTGCAAGCTTTTCACTGTGGTAACTTAATGACTGCTCCGTTTCTTCTTCTTCCATTTCAGCTATCCTTGTGTCTGGAACGTACCCGGCCTCCTTCATCGTCTGGAACAGCCTCCTCAGCTCGTTATAAGCGTCATCTCTCCGTGGATGCGTCTCATCGAGTGAATAGAACTCGTTGGTCTGGCCTTTGATGGTGATTGTACTCTTTCCAGGTAGCTTCTTTCTGCACTTGATTCTTATCTGGTCTCTGAGTTTCATTTCCGCAGCTCTGTCCCCAGCGCTGGCGTAGATGTTGGACAGCATAACATAAGGTGCTGGATCTTTTATGGAGCTCTCGTCCAACTCAAAGAGATGGTTAGCAACCCGGCCTGCCCGTTTCAAGTCTCGGAAAGTCCGGCAAGCACTGAGTAAGCTCGTCCATGCTACAGCACCGGCTTTAAATGGCATTTTAGTGATGAGAGTTTCTGCGTCTTTCAGGTAGCCAGCCCGTCCAAGGAGGTCAATCGCGCACAGAAAGTGTGACTCGTTTGCAGTGACACCATAGTAGTCACCACTTACCAACGAGCTGAAGATATCAGAGCCTTCGTCGAACAAAGCGCCGTGGCTACAAGCAGAGAGAGTGTTGATCAGCGTTATCCCGTTGGGCTCCACTCCTGCTTGAACCATGATCCGGAAGATGTCCAGAGCTTCGGAGCTGTATCCATTCTGTGCGTAGGCCGCGATGATCGCTGTCCAAGATACTACGTCACGGTAAGTCATTTCAAGAAACGTTTGCCTTGCTAACTCCGGGAGACCGCACTTGCCGTACATGTTGCAGATTGAGTTGGCGACACTGATATCCTTGGCCAATGCTTCATCCATTCCGTCGCAAATGATCCTACCCAGTGAAGAAGCCGTGAGGTTCGCACAGGCATCGAGCACGCTGCAGTAAGTCATCCTACTCGGCTGCAACCCTTCCAGGTCCATGCGTCGAAAGAGCTCGAGAGCCTGCTTTGGACGTCCGTTCTGGCCGAATCCAGCGATCATGGCATTCCAGGAAATGACACTTTTGTCCGGCATCTCCCGGAAAAGCTTCTCGGCCTCGTCAACGCGAGCGTTCTGAGCGAAAGCCGTGACCATGGCATTCCAGGAGACAACAGTCCGGTCCTTCATGCTGTCGAACAAGCTCTTGGCCTCGGAGACGCAGCCATTGTAGCCGAGCGCCGAGATCATCACGTTGTAGGAGGCGACGCTGGGCTCCGGCATCCTGTGAAACATCGACTTGGCCTCCTGGAGCTGGCCAGTATGAGCGTACAGAGAGATCATCGCGTTCCAGGCAATGGTGCTGGGCTCCCGGGTGGAATCAAACATCGACTTTGCTTCCTCCTTGTGCCCGGACTTGGCATACATGGTCACCATGGTTGTCCACGACGCAGAGGTCTTCCCGGGCATCCTCTCGAACAGCCGCCTCGCCTCGGGGATCCTCCCAGCGTTACCGTAAGCCGCGATCAACATGTTCCAGGAGAGGACCTTTGGACAGGCGACGGCGTCGAAGAGCTTGCGAGCATCTTCCAAGCTCCCGCAAGCCGAGTACATTTGGACGAGCTGGTTCTGGAGCTCCGGGTCGTGGTTGAGGCCTTGCTCCACGACCTGGGAGTGGAGGCGCTTACCTTCGGCAAGGGACTTCGACTTGGTGGCTCGTCCCAGCGCGTCGAGGAGGTTGGTCTTTGCGGCAAGATTTCTTACCGCCTCTGTTGCAGCTCCAGGCAATGCGGCCATGGTGCGGAGCCATCGCCTTTGGAGCTTCAGGGCGCCCAACTCGCGCCTTCTCTGGAACATGCCTAAACCCTTGGAACTGAAACGAAATGGATCCAAGACGAAGCAGTTGCGTTGATCATATCAGGTGACTTCTTACTCAATGATTTATGTTTCGCTCACATGTTTCATCTTTGTCCGGATCATCTTCTTTCAGTTTTTTCTGTCCATGCATCAGCCTTTGTACATCAGATCAGTAATATCATCACTGCTCAGGAGATCGATATTATCAAGTGCCGTACCCAAGATCGCGCTGGATCGCATTGAGGACGATCGTAAGAGTGGATGCCATGCTTCGCCATTCTGCCGCCATCCTAGTGCACCCGAGCAGAGGACTCTTTTTTCGGAAGATCCACAGCCAGCCAGTGTACACGTTGTTCAACGAGGTCTGAGAACCCAGCCGAAATGATTGATCGAAAGAAAAAATAAGTTTTCGTGGACAGACTCTGGAAAAAAAAAATGGAGGAGCTTTTTCTCTACTCTGACTACCTCAAAGAAGCGAGAGTTTTGAGTTAAATACCAGCAGTTCAATTTTATTCGAACGTAAAGTTTGTAAGCCATCCACATATATAAATTCAACTAGCAACCAGCAGTCTCCCAAAATATTTTTCTTGAATTTTTTATTTCCTCCAATAAAATTTTAAGGTTACATACAATTAGTGTGACCATGTTGATGCATAATTCTGGTTATGCCATAATAAAATGCAAAATTATTTCTGGTTACCCTAAAATAAACTCTCATATTTAGGGTAACTCACAATATCACTCATAATTGATAATTTTCATTTCCATTGTATAAAAACAACAGTGTTTATGATAGTTTTAATATGAGAATCAGAAAGATGGCCATGCTTATTACAAACTCTAACAAACTGAGACTGAAGATTATCACATAAAATTAAAAGTAGAATAAGAACGAATGTCTTCATCATCAAGAGGTAAATTAATACCACAATTATTTACTTCTAAACAATTATAAGTGCCGAAAAGCATAGAAGCATTTTATATAGTACATGAGATGGCACCCAGATGGCAATCCACAAAGGCCTATCTTTTATCTCCTCACTCAAGAATGGCTGTCGTATAGATTGGACACTGCCACGTATAGAGATCCATCCACAAGTTCTGAAGCTCTTATATTTACTTACTAGTAATTTGGATGATAGGATCAGGATCCATAGAACAAGTATGGTAATGATCAGTTGATTCACTAAATGTACGAAAATAATTTTTGTATTAGGAATAATTTCAATATCATCAAGCAATTATACTTCAGATTTTCTTGTAAGCAATAGAAGCCTTTTATTTGAATAATAGAGCAGATGGCAGCCTATCTTCTTAACAATGCTTATATCTGCTCGCTCAACAATGGCTGTCGTATAGATTGGACACTGCCACATATAAAGATCCATCACCACCACCCAGACGCGAGCTCTGGAGCATCTCACTTCCTGCGGCAGCTCCAACCTCGAAGCTCTTATGGGTTTTGCATGCATCCAGCAGCGCCATCCACGCCCTCGAATCCGTCTGGAATGGCATGCTCTTGATCAGCTCCTCCGCCTCACCGATCCTGCCCGATCGCCCAAGAGCGCTGATCAAACACCTCTAGTGCTCCGGCCCCGGATGAATCCCTTGATCACATCTCATCGCCACGAAGCACTCCCAGATCTCGTCCAGCAATCCCGAGTGTCTGCACGCCCCCAGGATGTTAGTGAAGGCCACCTCGTCGAGATGGATCCCCTCCAAGCACAGCTCCTGGAAGATCTCCATCGCTTGCCTGCCATGCCCGTGCTGGGCATACGCCGCCACCATCGCAGTCCCTCGCCTTCATCCGATCAAACACCTCCCGTGCGGCGATCACATCCCCAAACCGCGCGTAGAGATTGACGAGCGTCGTGCCCACGACTGCGTCCCTGTCGAGGCCGGACTGGATCGCTCCGTCGCGAACGAGGAGGAAAGATCGCCGAAGCGCGTGCAAGCGGCGAGAACGGTCGCAAGACTGGAAGCGTTGGGTTTCACGCTGAGGATCATCTCCCTGTACAGCTCCAGCACTTCCCTGTCGTGCCTCGCCATCGCTTCTGCAGCGCTCCAGCAAAGAACATCTTCCCTAGAGATCTTTCGGAATGCCGATCTCGCACAGTCCAGCCAGTGTACAAGCTGACGAGCGCGGTGCCGACGATGGTATCCGTCTCGATCTGGGAGCCTGGCCGGGAATGGAGCAGCACTGCCTCTTCTATCCGGCCCAAGCCCGCTATTGCATTAAGAACGCTCGCGTACGTGAAAGCATCGGGCTTCACACCAGCAGACGCCATCTCCTGGTAGATCTTCAAAGATACTTCCAAATGCCCAGCTTCGGCATTTACTGGGACCATTGCGTTCCAAGACACAACATCCCGGTGCGTGATCCGATCGAACATCTGCTTCACCCGATCGATTCTACCGCACTTGGCATACATCGTGACCAGCGCATTTTGAAGACCCACGTCCTGTTTGATCCCTCTTTCCACGATTCGCTCGTGGATTTCCAGCCCCTGCTCCAGGCATTTCAATCTAGCGCGAGCGGCGGCTGGATCTACGTGCTGGAACGGACGAGAGCTCGGTAGAGACAGAGCGCCTCTTGCTCCTTGCCGGCCCCGACGTATGCCGAGATGATGATCGCCCAGGAGAATTCGTTCCGGAGTGGCATGCTATCGAACGCCGCTCTGGCATCTTCCAGCCTCCCGCAATCTCTGTACATCTGGACGAGCAAGTTGCCCAGGAACCTGTCGCGGGCGTGGCCGCTGTGGATAATCCGGGCATGGACACGCCTCCCGTCCTCGAGCAGCCTCGATCGGGCACACTTCCGGAGGATCGTCGCGTACTCCTGCCTGAGCTGAGCATACCTGGACTGTGGTGGTTCCATCTCGATCCAGCGAGCACGTTTGCTAGATTATCTGCGAACTTGGGAAGATCTATTTCTTGGGAACTTACAACATGAGAGTTCCACTCACTCGTACTCTTCTGGAGGAGCTAGGCAATCCCGCACGGTTTGAGCCAAGTATGGGTTCTCCATTGCCGCTCCTTGTCATTAAGTTGCTTGTTAATGATCCATGTCGTAGTCGCGGCCCATTGTAAACTCGCCAGCGTAGCAGAACGCCGACAGCACGGTAATCATCATGACGTCGCTGGGAGCCGCGCCGCCGGCCTGGATCATCCGGTGGAACACCCGCAGTACGCCGTAGTGGTCGCCATTCTGCGAAAATGCCGTGTCCACGGCACCGCGTCGTCATTGCACCTCTGCCGCACGCGGTAGAAGAGGTCCTCCGCGTGGGGCAGGCTGCCGCACTTGGCGTACGTGCTGGTCAGCGCAACCACGTCACTTCTTTCGTACAACCCGGCCACCCGGAGCGCGGACACCACGGCGCAGGAATCAAACACGCGCAAGAAGCTCGCCTGGTTGGGTTCGATTCCCTCCAGGTCCATGAGACGAAACACTCCCAGCGCTTGCTCTACGTGTCCTCGCTGTGCATATGCCAGGATCATCTCATTCCACGTCGCCATAGTGCCCCTGTACGGCACTATGTTGAAAAAATGCCGGGCACTAGCGAGATACCCGCAGCTGACGTACACGTCCATCATGCCCGCGGCTCTCTGCAAATGCCAACATCGGGTATTTTCTTTCACCATAGCTTTCCAGTGCAGATAGACTCAAACAAAAATCTTACCCTGGAGAACATACCGTTAACCAAGTAGGCTTTGAGCATGTTTAGATAGCATTTTGGTCCCTTTTCCTTGATTGGGAAGAACACCTCCTCCACCTCTCCAATATGCCTGTTTTGGGCATATGCTGCAATCATAGCCGCATTTGGATTATAGACTTTTGTGTATGCAATGTAAACATCCTTGATTAAGCCATACAAGTTTAAGTAATGCCACCTACACTTAAATTGTGTATTAGTTTTTTTATGTCCTTCTTTAGAAACTCAATTATTAATTGCTTTATATTTGTTTTCAAACACTTATTTCAGAGTTCTATTCCTGCTTTTAGCTTTTGGAATTAAAGATTTTAATTTAAATGTGTTATGTTTGTTAAATTTCTACTTTGGCCACTACCACATAACACACTTTGTGTTTAAAAGTTTGTATCTTAGACCAACTATTAGATCTTTGTAAAAACTCACTAAATTTTTGAGATTTTTGGATTGATGGAAATGAGTTTTAGACTTGGAGGTGATATGGATTAACATTCACTCCATAATTTAGGAAAACATTGTATGCATCAAAATGTCTTTGTGAGTTCATGTGAGTTTGATCCATCTTTTTGTTTTATATTAAGAGACAATCATTTTTAAACAACATTTTAAATAGCATAGCTAAATTAGGGGGCATGTATTCTCAATAAAAAATGAAAATGATGTGAAGATTACCTTAGTACAAACTCCTAATAAATAGAAACAAAAGCAGAATTAAATCTCATGCCGAGTACAGCCCTTTATATATCACTTAATTAATATTCATATTGAAAAACCATCTAGATTAAAAACATAGAATTTTTTCCTTTCTTTTAATTATATCAAATAAACATATCGATCCAGATTTTCGTATAGCTAAACAAACCCTTCCATACATATTGTAATTTGAACAAAGCTTTTTTGTTGACCATAAAATATTTTTAATGCCTTGTATAACAGCATTTCCGCTTGATTTTATTTGCAAATAGCAGTTAGTGTCTTTATTTCTTGTAAAACTCTCCCATATTACTTTTTTTGGTAAATAATTTTTACCATATAATTTAAGGTCACAATTTGATTCCATTGTCATTCTATACCTATGATTTAAGGAATGCAAACTGTTCCCTTCAGGGAGATAAGTTCCAAAAAACTGATCAGGACCACTTATAAGTTGATAAGTATAAGGCCAACAGGTATTTGAACCAATATCAAAATTATAACTTATTTTATGGGGCAAAATTAGTGGGGGATCAATATGAGGATCTCTTGTAGCTTCTCCATTATTTATATATTCAAGCTCATAATTTTCAGAAGTAATAATAAGATGACCCCATGCATTTAGTAATGCTTCTCTTACAAATGTTGAATATAATTCTTGTATTCCTTTATATAATTGCTTACTAGTAATTTGGATGATCGAATCAGGATTCATAGAACAACTATGATAATCGCCAGCTGATTCACTAAATGTACGAATAATAATTTGTGTATTAGGAAAAGTTCCAATATCACTCATACCTATTGAACCTAATTGATAATTTTCATTTCCATTGTATAATATGTCAAGCAGTAAAACAACAGTTTTTATAATAGTTTTAATATGAGAATCAGAAAGATGACCGTGCTTATTACAAACTCTAACAAACTGAGACTGAAGATTATCACATAAAATTAAAAGTAGAATAAGAACGAATGTCTTCATCATCAAGAGGTAAATTAATACCACAATTATTTACTTCTAAACAATTATAAGTGCCGAAAAGCATAGAAGCATTTTATATAGTACATGAGATGGCAGCCAGATGGCAATCCACAAAGGCCTATCTTTTATCTCCTCGCTCAAGAATGGCTGTCATATAGATTGCCACGTATAGAGATCCATCCACAAGCTCTACTTCCAGCAGCTCCAACCTCGAAGCTCTTATAATTACTTACTAGTGATTTGGATGATAGGATCAGGATCCATAGAACAAGTATGGTAATCATCAGTTGATTCACTAAATGTACGAAAATAGGTTTTGTATTAGGAATAATTTCAATATCTCTCACACCTATTGAACGTAATTCATGTATAATCTTAGTTTATGATAGTGTTAATATGAGAATCAGAAAGATGATTATTGCAAAATCTAACAAATTGAGACTGAAGATTATCACATAAAATCAGAAATATTTCATCATCAAGCAATAAAGAAATAATATAATTATACTTTAGATTTACTTGTAAGCAATAGAAGCCTTTTATTTGAATAATAGAGCAGATGGCAGCCTATCTTCTTAACAATGCTTATATCTGCTCGCTCAACAATGGCTGTCGTATAGATTGGACACTGCCACATATAAAGATCCATCACCACCACCCAGACGCGAGCTTTGGAGCATCTCACTTCCAGCGCCAACTCCAACCTCGAAGCTCTTATGGGTTTTGCATGCATCCAGCAGCGCCATCCACGCCCTCGAATCCGTCTGGAATGGCATGCTCTTGATCAACTCCTCCGCCTCACCGATCCTGCCCGATCGCCCAAGAGCGCTGATCAAACACCTGTAGTGCTCCGCTCCCGGATGAATCCCGTGATCACATCTCATCGCCACGAAGCACTCCCAGATCTCGTCCAGCAATCCCGAGTGGCTGCACGCCCCCAGGATGTTAGTGAAGGCCACCTCGTCGAGATGGATCCCATCCAAGCACAGCGCCTGGAAGATCTCCATCGCTTGCCTGCCATGCCCGTGCTGGGCATACGCCGCCACCATCGCAGTCCAGGAGATGGTGTCCCTCGCCTTCATCCGATCAAACACCTCCCGTGCGGCGATCACATCCCCAAACCGCGCGTAGAGATTGACGAGCGTCGTGCCCACGACTGCGTCCCTGTCGAGGCCGGACTGGATAGCTCCGTCGCGAACGAGGGCGCCGGAGGAAAGATCGCCTAAGCGCGTGCAAGCGGCGAGAACGGTCGCAAGAGTGGAAGCGTTGGGTCTCACGCTGAGGATCATCTCCCTGTATAGCTCCAGCGCTTCCCTGTCGTGCCCCGCCATGGCTTCTGCCGAGATCATCGTGCTCCAGCAAAGAACATCTCTCCTAGAGATCTTTCGGAATGCCGATCTCGCACAGTCCAATCTCCCACAGCCACTGTACAAGCTGACCAGCGCGGTGCCGACGATGGTATCCGTCTCGATCTGGGAGCCCAGCCGGGAATGGAGCAGCACTGCCTCTTCTATCCGGCCCAAGCAGGCGAGCGCGTTAAGAACGCTTGCGTACGTGAAAGCATCGGGCTTCACACCAGCAGACGCCATCTCCTGGTAGATCTTCAAAGCTACTTCCAAATGCCCAGCTTCGGCATTTGCTGCAACCATTGCGTTCCACGACACAACATCCCGGTGCGTGATCCGATCGAACACCTGCTTCGCCCGATCGATTCTACCACACTTGGCATACATTGTCACTAGCGCATTCTGAAGACCCACGTCCTGTTTGATCCCTCTTTTTACGATTTGCTCGTGGATTTCCAGCCCCTGCTCCAGGCATTTCAATCTAGCGCAAGCGGCAAGAGCGCTGGAGAAGATGAACGCGTCCGGCTGGATCTCCGTGCTGGAACGGACGAGAGCTCGGTAGAGACAGAGCGCTTCTTGCTCCTTGCCGGCCCCAACGTATGCCGAGATGATGATCGCCCAGGAGAATTCGTTCCGGAGGGGCATGCTATCGAACACCGCTCTGGCATCTTCCAGCCTCCCGCAATCTCTGTACATCTGGACGAGCAAGTTGCCCAGGAACCTGTCGCGGGTGTGGCCGCTGTGGATGATCCGGGCATGGACACGTCTCCCGTCCTCGAGCAGCCTCGATCGGGCACACTTCCGGAGGATCGTCGCGTACTCCTGCCTGAGCTGAGCATACCTGGACTGTGGTGGTTCCATCTCGATCCAGCGAGCACGTTTGCTAGATTATCTGCGAACTTGGGAAGATCTATTTCTTGGGAACTTACAAGATGAGAGTTCCACTCACTCGTACTCTTCTAGAGGAGCTAGGCAATCCCGCACGGTTTGAGCCAAGTATGGGTTCTCCATTGCCGCTACAACGCGCTCCTTGTCATTAAGTTGCTTGTTCACTGCAAGAATGATCCATGATCCACAAACAAAAAGCTTTCCAGGAATTTTTCTTACCCGCAGCCTCGGTAGAGTGAGAACCTGGTGCCACTCTTATATCCACCTAAGATCAAAACCACTCAAACTCGAGAAAACTGGAAGAGAAGCCATACCTTGAAGCGAGGTGGAAGAGAGTGCATGAGCTTCACTCGAATGCACAGTCCAATCAGCGTTGCCATGCTACAGTGCTGGACTGTGGGAGTAAATGTGACCCTTGCAAATTCATCAGGCTAAACCAATCTAGAAGAAGAGAGAAATTTCTTTCTTCCATACCTCACAGAGCTTTGCTTATCGTCCACTTCGATCCCCTCTTCAGCGAGCACATTTAGCTGCTCCAGCGAGTATGGATGCTCCGGATCGCGGATATCCCTCAAGTGCTGTGCTAAAATCGTCAAGGAAACCGAGGCGAAATTCCGTCCAGGTCAAGAAAAAGGATATCGAAAACCTCCAAGGCGTCGATTTCTTCCACGGCGCTCTCGTCTCCGATGGAGGGGCGCTGCCGCCGCGTCGCCTTGCGCTCATGGATCACCGGATTCGCATTCTGGAGCGCCATGACATAAACCCTAGAAGAAGAGAGGATATTCCCACAGAATATTCGTCAAGAATATTCTGATAGAATATCCTCAATTCGAAATTCTTATGAAAGTTCGCGTCGCATGAAATGGAGGAGAGTTTGGCTCTCTCGATCCTACAGCACCCTCCTCCTTCCGGAAGAGATCCACAGGCTGCGCAACAGCCTCGCTCACGCAGATTCGGCAACGTTTACGCTGCTGCTCCGGCACTGCAGCAACGCGAGGGCGCTACAACAGGGCAAGTTGATCCATTCGTATATCATCGAGAAAGGCTACGATCAGGACACCTTCCTCGGTAATCTCTTGGTAAAAATGTACTCCGAATGTAACTGCATTCAGGATGCCCAGGCGGTGTTCTCCAGCATCCGTCACAAGAACGTCTTCTCGTGGAACATCATGATTGCAGCATTTGCCCAAACGGGGGATATGCAGAAAGCGAGGAAATGCTTCGATCAGACACCGCGGAAAGACGCAGTTTCATGGACGACCATGATGACGGCTTATACGCAAGTTGGAAAGTGCAAAGAGGCCTTGCAGCTGTTCAAGCTCATGGATCAGAGCGGTGTCTATCCGGATCAAGGCGCGTTTGTCAGCGTTCTCAACGCCTGTGCTAGCAAAGTCTCGGCTTCCGAGAGGAGAGAAATCCTAGAGCACCTTGAAACTGGAGTTTCGGATTTGGATGTGGTGCTGGGAACCTCCATGGTTGGCATCTACGGGAAGTCTGGAGAGATTAACAAGGCCCGAGCGGTGTTTCGACAAATGCCCAAGAGGAACGTTGTCTCGTGGACGGTGATGGTCGAGGCAACTGTGGAGGATGGGAACCTGCAGAGGGCGAGGGAGCTCTTTGAGAAGATGCCGGAATGGACGACGGCTTCGTGGGTGGTAGTGATCAGCGCTTACGCAAGGCTCGGGGAATTGCTCGAGGTTGAGTGTTTGCTTGACAGAATGCTGTATCAAAACGTTGCCGCCTGGACTGTCGTAATTGCAGCAAATGCACATATGGGGCATGTGCAAGAGGCTGCGTTGCTGTTTCAGCGAATGGATCAGGCGGGCGTGCCTCCGGATAAGATCACACTCGTCAACATTCTGGATGGCTGCGCCAAGTTTGGGGCGCTAGATATCGCGAGAACCATCGAATCTGGAATCGCAGATACCGAGTTCATGAAGGATGACACTGTAGTCACGAATTTAATCAACGTTCATGGCAAGTGCAGCAGCGTGAAGCACGCAATCGAGCTCTTCGAGGGAGAGGCCTTCCTCCTGGACAGTGTGATTCTATGGTCATCTACAATGGCAGCACTCGCACAGAACGATCGAGCGCACGAAGCAATCGAGCTCTTCCACTGTCTACAACTTTACGGGATGGAACCAACGAGGATCACTTTCAGCATCGTTCTCTTCGTTTGCAGTCACGGTGGCATGATGAAACGAGGGTGGGAGAGCTTCCTGGCTATGCAAGCTGATCACTTCCTCAAACCGGATGTTGATCACTTCGTTTCCATGATCGACCTCCTGGGAAGATGCGGATGGCTCGACCTTGCTTTCGAGCTGATCGAGACAATGCCGTTTGTGCCAGACGACGTTGCTTGGACGATCCTGCTCAACACATCCAAGCTCTACGATGAGTCAACACGAGCGCGGTTGGCGGCGAAGCACCTGATGGAACTTGGAGACGAAGACTCGGCGCCTTATGTCTTGCTAGCTGGTGTTTGCCGTTCTAGCTCTCCGCAACAAGACGAGGAACTCTTTCCCCACAGCCTCTCGCTGTGATTGTATGAGCTTCTTGAACTCGCCAAGTTTCTGCTTGAGGCCGGGGACACTGGACGATAAAGCCATCTCGAGCATAATGTCCATAGACATCTGCGAGGCTTCAACTTTTTCAGGAGCAGCCCGAGCTGATGCAAGTCAAAAGACTTTTGAGTACCTGCGATTCACAAAGGTTGAGAGTGTGTAGTCTGTGAGCATCTCCCTCGTCTTAGTGCCTGCCTTGCCAACAGTTTCCACACCAACAACACGAGTAACTCTTTCCTTACAATGTGATTGTATGAGCTTCAAACTCGACAAGCTGGGATTGGACATCACTCGTGTACAAGGTGGAGGACTATCACTTCGAAGTGAAAGCAACTTTAGTTTATGGAAAGTAGTGTGAGTATCACCACTACAACTCCGCTTTGTATTGATCCCAAATTTCTATGATCTTGACGCATCCCTCGCATCGTCGAGAAGAGCCTCTCGTGTTTCTTAAACAGCGGCAGCATCCTGCAGGAAACACAGACGATATAAAGTCGAGACATACCCGGTGGGTTTCATATGCTTGCACATTGACAAGCACAGGAAGTAGAGCTTGAAGAACAGCAAAACGAACTTGCTTGTTTCCCAAGTTGTATGCCATACCCAATGGTTCTAACTTCTTTTGTGGAGCTCTCTTGACGAAGAGCTGCCACTTGAGACTGGCGAAAGCAAAGGCGAGCAAGAATTTGACGTTGCCATACGCACCTCACTCAGTTTGCTGGAGATTTCGTTGGACGCCACAGTGAAGTCACGTTCGTCGGCCTTCCCTTCTCCAAGCATGAACGGGATGTCCTGGAACTGGAGCAAGAACTCGGGCCTCTTCCTCTTGCGGCACCACTTTGCGGTTTGTGTTGACATGGAATGGAACTGTAACCTTTGAGAAGTAGTAGTCGAGCCGGTTATCCATATCCGAAAAGTTGTAATTTGCATCCCTGTCATTCAAAACCTAAAAATTTGGTGGTGGAAGAATATTCTCTATGCATCATGCAACAATTCCTTACAGCCAATCGAATGAATTGATGGTAACTATGCATTATCCAACAACTCCTTACAGCCAATCGCTGTGACTGCGTGATCTTCGAACTCGCCAAGCTTTGCGAAAGCTCTTTGTCCGCGAGAGAGATCGCCTTGAAGTCCGCAAGCGCCAAGCAGAGCCACCAAGGACACCTGGTCCGGTTTGAAAGGCATGGCTTCGAGCAGCTCCTCGGCCTCTCCCATCCTGCCGCTCCGGCCCAGATGATCTACGAGGCAAGTGTAGTGTTCCTGAGACAACTTCGCCCCGAAGTGATCGTCAAGGATGGGGTGGAGTTGCGAGAACTTGGTGCCGGCGTGGCTACAAGCCGTGAGCGACGCGAGGAGAGTTACTTCATCGGGCTGGATCCCATGGAGTAGCATGCTGCAGACGAGCTCCATGGAAGCTTTGGACTCCCCGCTGTGTGCCAGTGCTGCGATCATCGCGTTCCAGAGCGGAGCACTCGGCCTCGAGAACGCCACCATTCTTTCGAACACACTCCGAGCTTCTTGGAGGCAGCCGCATTTTCCATACAAGTTCAGCACTGCGGTGCCGACTCTCAGATCGTCCAAGAGCTCGGCTTTGGCAGCGGCGACGACGAGCTTGCCGTGGACAAGATCTGGCAAGCTTGCACAGGCGTCCAAGGCAGAGACGAGCGAAATGGCGTCGTGCTGGATTCCTTCCACGTCCATTTCCACAAACAGCTCGATCCCCCGGCGAAACTCTCCTCCGTGAAAGCACGCGGCAAGCATTGAGTTCCATGACGCGATATCTCTCTGTGGCATTCCATCAAAAACTTTCTTGGCATCAAGGTGGCGAGGGTTTCTCGCGCAAGCCGAAACGAGAGCGTTCCAGGAGACGACGTTCCTGCTGGGCATTTGCTGGAACACAAGCACGGCATCGTCGAGCCTGCCACACTTGGCATACAAATCGACGAGCGCAGTCCCGACAACAGCATTTGAGAGTAGACTATCGCGGCAGCAAATCTCTCGGTGGATTTCACTCCCAGTTTGGAGATCCCCAACACTTCCACAGGCATCCAACACGACCACGAACGTCACCCTGTCTGCCTGGAAGCCTTCCAAGTCCATGAGCACGAAGAGCTCCAGCGCTTCTCTGGGATGCCCAGCCTGAGCATAGGCTCCGATCATCGCATTCCAGGCCACGAAGTCGCGCTCCAGAGGGATCATCCCATCGAACAAGTTCCTCGCCTCTTGGAGTCGCCCGTGACGACCAAGTACCGCGAGCATCGACGTCCACAGCACCGTGTCTCTCGACGTTACTCTTTCAAAGCATCTCACGGCCTTGTCCAGCGATCCGAACTTCATCCCATGCAAGTTGACGAGCGCGGTTCCAATCTCGGTGTCCGATTCAAGGCCAAGCTCGTCGCTTGCAGCTTCGATCGGGCGAGCAGCCGCTGGTGTAGCGGAGCAGGCATCCAGAGCGATGAGCAAAGACACCTTGTTGGGAGGAACCCCATCCAGGAGCAGCGCCTGGAACAGCGAGAGAGCCATCTCGGGGTGCCCGTTCTGGGCGTACGCCGTGAGCATCGAGTTCCAAGAGACGATGTTCCTCTCGGGCATCTTGTGGAACGCAAGCTCCGCGATTGACAATTCACCGCTCGCGGCATTTGCTGCGAGGATTGTCGTCCAGGACACTACATCTCTCTCCGGCGCGCTCACAAACACAAGATCGGCTTCCAAGAACGAACTAGAATCTCTACAAGCCGCGAGCATCGCGTTCCAGGCAACCAAATTCCTGGATGGCATGCGATCGAAAACACGCTCTGTGGCCCCAAAATCCCCATTATGGGCAAATGCGACAAAGAGGCTGTTCCACGAGAAGCTGTTCTTCGCGGCAATCTCCCCAAACGCCGCCACCGCATCGCGGACGCTACCGCAGCGCCCATACATCTGGACGAGGAGATTTCCCAAGAACACATCCCTGTCCAGCCGTCCGGATCGAGCAATCTCCGCGTGGAGGCGCCACCCCAGCGCCAAGCTGCCACAGCCGCGAAGAACTGGCCCATAGAAGCGATGGATCGACGCCAGGCCACTCGCAATGGCATTTCTATCCCCAATCCAATCGATCAGCGCCCCTGGGATCGATCAATCCACTCGCATCAATCCAAGCGATCAGAGCCCCTGGCATCGATCAAGCCGCGCAGGCCAGCGAGGAGAGAATACGGCGCGGAGTTGTGCGGATCAAGCTCCATCACCGCCGCCGCCGCCCGCAAACCCCGGAGCCAATCGCTGCTCGTCCGGCAAGCGCTCAGCAGCGCGACCCACGCCGCGGGATCCGGCTCAAACGGCATATTCAGCAGAAGATCCTCGGCGCTGGCCAGGTCACCACACCGCGCAAAGTAGTCCACCACGCACACGTAGTGGTCTGCGGTGACTGCCACGCCGTACTCGCGGCCCATTGCACGGAAGTAGTCCACCGCGGCAGTCAACTCACCAGCGTGGCAGCACGCCGACAGGACCGTAATCATCGTGACGTCACTGGGAGCCGCGCCGCCGGCCTGAATCATCCGGTGGAACACCCGCAGTGCGCCGCGGTGGTCGCCATTCTGCGAATATGCCGTCACCATGGTCGTCCACAGCACCGCGTCGTCATTGCACCTCTGCCGCACGCGGCAGAAGAGCTCCTCCGCGTGCGGCAGGCTCCCGCACTTGGCGTACATGTTGACCACGCTGGTCAGCACCACCACGTCACCTCCTCCGTACAGCCCGGCCACCACGATTCCCTCCCGGAGCGCGGACGCCACGGCGCAGGAGTCGAACATGCGCACGAAGCTCGCCTGGTTGGGTTCGATTCCCTCCAGATCCATGAGACGAAACACTCCCAGCGCTTGCTCTACGTGCCCGCGCTGGGCATATGCCAGGATCATCTCATTCCACGTCGCCACGCCCTTGTACGGCACTATGTTGAAAAAATGCCGGGCACTAGCGAGATCCCCGCAGCTGACGTACACGTCCATCATGTACTGGAAGGTCTCCAAATCCCTGTACGCCATCCTCTCAAAGTAGTCCACGGCTCTCTGAAAATGCCAACACCGGGCATTTGCTTCTACCATAGCTTTCCAGTGCTCGCAGCGCTTTTCCAGCATAGAATCAAACAAAAAGCTTGCCTTAGAGAACATACCGTTAACCAAGTAGGCTTTGAGCATGTCTAAATAGCATTTTGGCCCCTTTTCCTTGATTGGAAAGAACAGCTCCTCCGCTTCTCGAATATGCCCGTTCTGGGCATATGCGGCTATCATAGCCGCGTGAGTGATATCACTTGGATTATAGACCTTTGCGTACGCAGCCTCGGCATCCCTGACTAAGCCACACATTCCGTACAAGGAGATAAGAAGATTCCCGTAGTATGCCTCTTGATCGTAGCCCCTGGAGGCGAGAATCTCGTGGATGCGCTTTCCCTCGTCGAGGGATCTTGCGTTGAGAAATTGCTTGAGCAAAGCGCAGTAGAGCTTGATCTCCGAGCTTTTCTTACGCTGGATTGGCATAGCGGAGTAAAGATTTTCCTACCACCTAGATTCATGTCACACATGGTGGAAATTTTTCTTTCATCAAATGTTGTCTATACACGTAACGCTAACTCGTCAAATCAGAAGTTTACAAGCTGTGGATGATTTACTCGTACAAATGCTGGCTCTTTGGCCGCGCGAGGCCGATTGGGACTGGCGAAAAGGACGTGGAAGACGACGCCCAGCGATTCCCAGTGCCAGACTCCTGGGCCCTGCGATTCCTTCGTGGAAGATCCTCCCCAATCTCGGCTGCGCGGGGATTTCCATCGCTAACGCTCGAGTGTGACGACGACGAAGAAGAAGTCGTGCTTTGCCGCCGCGAGGTGAAAAGATTCACGACCGATCGCTCCCACCACCATTTCAAGCTCTTGGTTGCCACCGGGAGCAAGAGGAACGCGAGCCTCAGAGCCAGGAAGCACGCCGCGAGCGTGAGATACATGTTGCCCTCAAGTAACTTCTCGGGAGAGATATACGGGCACATACCAGCCGGAGGTCTGCCTTGGCTCGAGTGAAGGATCAGAGCTTCCGAGGATCCTTGAACTTCCGGCGAAAATCCTGGACAGAAGCAAGAATGGATGAAGCTGGAGAGAAAGAGAGAAAGAACTGCGCAAACAAACCAACCTGTCATGTCTTTGTAAAAGCTCGCCAAGTTCTTGAGATCTTTGGATCCGTGGAAACGAGTCCTGGACTTGGAGGTGAGATGGATCAGTGTTGGGAAGCTATTCACTCCATACTTCGAGAGAACACTGCATGCATCGAAACGTTCTTGTGAGTTTCTGTGAGTTTGATCCAGCTCCTCTTTCCATACCTCGGCCTCACGCTCGATTCCTCCACAGCGATGTGATACACCGACGGATAAATGGAAGACATCGTGTCAAACAATGGCCTCATGAGCTTCGAGAATGGACACCACGACGCGTAGAGCAGTAGCATCGCGCTGGATTCCTCCTTGGACACCGACCACAAGGAACTCAGCGTTTGCTCCAGAGTAGCGGAGCTCTCGTTTAGCTAGAACACAAACCAAGACCACAAAATCAAATGCGCTCTCTCATCGTAATCCTAGGCGATCGCGATCGATCTTACCTCAAGAACCCGAGGAACAAGGCTCACGCGATTGACGAGCTCCCCGATGACGACCTCGTCGGGGGAGTGGAGAAAGATTTGCGCCAAAGAGGGGCGCTTGCAGCACGGCGCCTCCGGCAATCCATCCGACGATCCGAAAGAATGCAAGGAGAAGAGGAGGAAGAGAGCGTGTAGCAGCAGCCTGTGAGGATCGAGCATGGTCTTCTTCCCCGAAAACCCTAGGAGCTGGAATGAAAATTTAGGGCAACAAGAAATTTTTTTGGAAGGGAGAAAAGAGCCATGGTCCATTTCGTGGAGAGGGAGGGGATCGAGGGCCGGATCTTCCTCGTCACCGGCGGCGCTGGCTTCGTCGGATCGGCAATCTGCCTGGAGCTCGTCACTCGCGGCGCTTCCGAGGTGCGATCGCTGGACGTGAGCAAGGCATCGCGAAATCTCCCGGCGCTCAAGGCCAATGGCGTGAAATGCATCACAGGTATGGCGCTCACTGCCGGAAATCTCCGTGAATCGAGCTGCGCAGAGACAGGAAATCGCGAATTTCGCGAGGATTGATGGATGGATTGCAGGTGATGTCCGGCGGAAAGAAGCGGTAGAGAACGCGATCAAGGGCGCGCACTGTGTGTTCCATGTGGCATCGTTTGGGAGCTTGGGCAAGCAGACGCTCCAGGCCGGGAGGATCGATCAGACCAACTTGGATGGAACTTGCAACGTCATCGATGCCTGTGTCAAGCACGGCGTGGAGAGGCTCGTGTACACGAGCACCAACAATGTTATCTTTGGAGGACAGCCTATCATCAATGGAAACGAGGCCATGTCCTACTTCTCGATCGAGCATCACTGTGATCCTTACGGCCGGAGCAAGGCACTGGCGGAGCAACTAGTGCTACGAAGCAACAACAGGCCTTCCAAGTATGCTTTCTAGATCACCGAGTTTCACTGCTACGCTCTTCCTGGTCTTTCTACTTCGTGGTCTTCCTGCTAAGTTCACTGCTAAGTTCTTCGTGGTTTCCTGTTCTTTCTACTTCACTGCTAAGTTCTTCGTGGCTTTCTTGTTCTTTCTACTTCACTGCTAAGTTCTTTGTGGTTTTGCTGTTCTTTATACTTCACTGCTAAGTTCTTCGTGGTTTTCCTGTTCTTTCTACTTCACTGCTCGTGCTAAGCTCGTCGTCGTTTTCTTGTTCTTTCTAATTGACTAATGATTTCTTCGTTTCTTCCCAGAAAAGCAAGCCGCAAGCTCTACACTTGCGCTATTCGATCGCCTATAGTCTACGGACCCGGAGAAACACTCCATCTCTCAAGAGTCCTCAGCACTGCCAAGCTCGGGCTTTTCTTTTCCAGAATCGGTGAGAGCAATGCCAGAACCGACTTTATCTACGTCGACAATCTCGTGAATGCGCATCTACTGGCTAGCATGGCGCTCCTCGATGATGTTCCTGGAACTGGAGGCGTTCCCACGGCAGCAGGAAAAGCTTACTTCGTCTCAGATGGTACTTCACAGCCAATTCTCTTTTAACCATTAACACAACGAGCGTTTCTTTTTCACAGACGCGCCAACGAACTACTTCGAATTCGTCCGTCCTCTCGTGGAAGGCTTGAACTACAAATTTCCACAGAGGGAGCTGAGCGTGTCGGCTGCTTTGAGATTCTCATGGTTTTTCTGGGGACTCTATGGATTGCTATATCCATGGTTGGAGAGATCGTGGATTCCAGATCCACTCTTACTTCCTTCCGAGGTCCACAAGGTTGGCCAACTCTTATTTTTCTCTTCTTGAATCTAAATTGTCTCTCTTGAACAGGTTGGAATCACACACTACTTTTCCTCTCTACGAGCACGCCAGGAGCTTGGCTACGTCCCGCTCATCGATCAGAAGGAAGGTCTGGAGCGAACGCTTGCCTACTTGAAAGAGAAGAAGCACAGAGAGCTCGAAACGCCAACTTTCGGCTGGTGGATCGGCATCTTGGCGGCTATGTTTGCTTTGTTTTGCTCGGCCTTCGTGCCTGACCCCTTCATGGGACCATTCGAGTGCGTGCGGAGCCTGGGAGTCCTCCTCCACGGCTCGATCCGGAACCTCAAGCTGGTGTTCCTCACCGCGTGCCTCGCTCACGCCGCGGAAGCTAGCTACGCCTGGAAGCTCGCAAAGTCTGTGGATCCCGAGAACGCGAAGGGATGGTTCTGGCAGACGCTAGCGCTCGGCTTCCCGTCCCTCAGGCTGTTGCTCGCGAGATCCAAGCGGAAGAATGCGTGAAGAGATGGTAGAAAGAAGCTCCCTGGGAAGAGATGGATCGAAAGAAGTTCTCTGGTGAGAGATGGATAGAAAGAAGTTTCCTGTGAAGAGTGGAGTTCCCAGGAAGTTTTCGAGAGAAGTAAAATCTTTGTTTAGAGCAGCTTGGCGAATCAAGAAGAATGTTATGGTGGAAATCTCTGTTCTAAGCTCTCGAAAATAAAAGACAAAAGAGCAATCCCAATCTCCCGTGACAGTGGAATTAATAAAAACTTGGGCACGCTCATGGTCGGTTGATAGATCAGCCAGCGATGAGAGCGTACAATGACAATTCCAGAGATTCCCTGGCCAAGTGCCTGATGTCCAGTGCCTGGATAGAGAAAATGAAGTGAAGAAGAACCAAAAAGGAAACTCCAGAGAATAGAAGAAAGATCTAGATTTCTTATACCTTGCTGCGAATGCAAAGACTAGCCATGGCTGGACGGTTCTTGGATCCCGATCCCGGCGCCGATAATTCTCCCCGATCGATCGAGATGGTCGCGTCCTGGACGAGCAGCTGGTGCTGCCGCAAGATCCACAGCACGCTCAGCAGCAAGCCCTGGCGCATACTGCAGCTCATGCTCAAGAACACGTCGGATTCGCAGATGTGGAGCCCCACGGGGCCGCCGCCACGATCCATCGCCGGCAGCGAGGAGCTTGCGATCATCAAATTCCTTGACTTACAGCGGCGTCGATCCTCGAGCACGGATTTCCTGAGCGCCAGCTCCTGGATTTGGCGCTGCAGTGACTGGATCAGCGCCATTGCCTCGGCGATGACCTCGCATCGATCCATCTGTACAGCAAAGAAGCAAGCAAAGCATTTAGCCCTTTGTTTGATCTTGGCTGAGAATCCTAGCGATCGATCGAATGTGATGGATGCAGCGAGAGATTACTACCTTCCAGGATTGCGATTGGAGCGGTAGCAGCACGCGCAGTCGATCATACAGCTCCTGTACCTCCTTCCGCCGCTCGCGCTCCGACCAGATGTGATTGATCCGCTGCATGTAACTCCGGCTCCGCCCTCCCTGCGCCGGGATTAGATGATCCATGGCCGCGATCCTCCTCCTCTCGCGCGAAGTTTTCGAAATCTTTTGGAATAGTCAAGCACCAAAGGAATTATAAATATTCCGAACTTTCTTTCCAGGGAATCACACCGTACGCGCGGTGTTTATGATCTGTATAGAAGCCCAGACTCGTGGTACGATGCTTGCAATGCCCGTGAACGCCTGGGCGAAGTCCGTGGATCATGCCTTGGCTTCTACCTCATGAAGCACTGCCAGACGACGCAGCCAAGATCGCCATCCATCAAAGGGCTTTGACCGTGTGATTGTAGCGATGCTGATGATCCAGCACTAGACGTCGCCGTTGGAGACGAGGCTGATTCTTCTGCTGGATTGCCTTGGAGGAGGTGAGTATCATGAAACTCTTCTCCTGCGGGGTCTGGAATCTCCGGCGTGGGAGGAGATGGAGGTGGGTCGCTTCTTTCATGATCTTGAGAAACGGGTGAGTGGGCTACAAGTGCCTTGTTCCTGATGCGCGAGTTCCACTGGTTCTTCACATCGTTGTCTGTTCTTCCGGGAAGCTGGGAAGCAATGTAAGCCCACCTGTGATTGATATCAGTGATGAGGATAAAAACGTGATGGTGCCGGATCAAACACCTGTTTCCAACAAGCCCATGGAGCTCGATGAGCTTTTGATTCTCCTCGTCGCTGAATTTCCCACGTTTAAGGTCCGGTCTCAAGTAGTTCATCCACCTTAGTCTACAGCTCTTCCCACTTCTTTGGAGCCCTGCAAGAAAGCAGCGAAATCGGTCCTATAGAAAACTGAGTGAGTGAGATCGTCAATCAAACCCGCAAGCTTGGGAACAGTGGTCCATACGTTTCCACACCCGTGCTGCAGTATGAAATTCAGCAATAGCTCGTCCTCTTCTGGCGACCACAGTCCCTTCCTCACGATCGAGCTCGAGCTCGTCGCGCCTCCCAATTCATGATCGTCGGGTTGTTCTCTTCTCGAGACCATGTATCGGTGAAGAACTTTGTGACGAGGATTTCAAAGAAGATGAATTCATTTCAAGCTTGCTCTTTTGGTCATGGATCAAACTCATGGAAGGACAATATCAGTTGACACACATTTCTCACATTCCAACCACCAAACACAAAAACACGGTAATGTTTTCAATTTTTTTTCTTCTGTCTTCTTCTTTTTGTCTCAGCTTCATATTAAGAATCTGACAATAACTTTATTTTCTACTGTCCCAAGGTACAAAGCTTGAAAGTCCTTTCCGCAAGCTGGCCCTTTGACAGAGATTGCAAGATTGAGGCCAATGTTTTAGATCTATAGTTCTGAGTACAGTGTTTCACCTTTTTTAATACCTTAAGATGAAATTACTATATAAAAATAAATTCTAAAAATCCAGTTTCTAAAATCTTTTTTGTGACAGAGAAATGATAAAAGAAATGCATTATGTCAAGTAACACATATTGGATTATAACTCATGCTTGAAAAAATTCACTTCAAAATATATACCATCTTAGCAGTATATGTCAAAACAATTAATATGCATCACAGAATGTTTTTCTTAGAAGAAAATCGAAATAATTTTAGTATTTTCTTTTGGAATTTTTTTAACCAAGAATAGCATCATGTTTAGGTTCAGGTTTAGTAAATCAAGGAACGTTTAGGTTCAGGTTTAGGGGGTTTTAGCGGTTACTCAAATCAAATTGGGGATGAGTATAAGTATATTCTAGGCATCAAAAATCACCTGAGACAAGGAAATGGATTTTTTGATAAAAGGGAGAAGATGTGGAAATAGTGGTCATAGCAGCAAAGTATGGATATAGTTGCCTCCAATTTTCATGCTTGAACTTCACATCATATATATGCATCATACACACACACACACACATATATATACATACATATATATATACATATATATATATACATACATATATATATATACATACATATATATATATACATACATATATATATACATACATACATACATATACATACATATATACATATACATACATACATACATATACATACATATATACATACATATATACATATATATATATATATATACATATATATATATATATATATATATACATATATATATATATATATATATACATATATATATATATATATACATATATATATATATATATACATATATATATATATATACATATATATATATATATATATATATGTATATATATATATGTGTGTATACATATGTATATTGTGAGTGCTTGGAATATGGAAAGGGAATACAAAAAATGTGCATATCAATTAACCCAAAAACCCTAGCTTATATATATGAGCGAGTGGTCCGGATTGAAACAAATCTGACGGCTACCAAATCCTACTACATTAATATTAGTATACGGCATCGTAGCTGTACACTTAGCCCTCACATCATCCCCTCTTTTTAGAATAATAAAAGACCATCAAGGTGCTTTTGTAGACAGGCCGGGATTTGGAAGAACATCATGAGGAGGCATTGGCGGATCTGTAGGTGGTATTAACTGCTCCTGATCCTGTTATATGAAGTGTTTTAATTGCTGCACATGCACAATCTTTAGAGGATTGGCCTGCTGAACATCATGCCAAACTTCATAAATTTATGGTCCAACTTGCCACAACACCTGATATGGTCCTTTCCACTGCACGAGGAGCCCCTTAGATAAACCACATACCATAAGATGGGGAAAACAAACTAACACCAAATCATCTACTTTGTACTCTGTAGGTGGACGATGATGGGAGTTGTAGTGCCATTGTTGTTCCACTTGTACGCAGCCTAAGTGTTTGGCAAACTCTGCTTGGACAAGTGGAAGAATGCTCGTCAAATACTGATCCCACGATCTAGTATCAGTAGCTTGTGGCAATTGCAAAGGTAAACCCAACTCCGTTGGTAATATTGGATCATGACTATATAAAAGTTTATATGGTGAAGCACCAATAGAACACTGCACCCTTGTGACATATGCATACTGAAGAAACGGGAAATAACCATCCCAATCCGAATGCTGAAAGTTCATATACTTCACAATCATCCCTTTGAATGTCCAAATGAGCCGTTCCACTAGACCGTCTGATTGTGGATGATAAGCACTCGTGAAAATATGGTATATCCCCAACCGAGATGTCAAAACATGAATGTAAGCAACCAAAGGGAACGATTATAGAGACGGTCCATGGGGTTCAAATATAGAGGGAAAGGGCCCATGAATAAGAGTGCACCCCCTTTTCCAATTGGTTAAGGGTCTTGGGATATTTGGGGTTAAGCGTCCTTGGGTTTGAATAGTACTGGGCTGGGTGACCTCCCGAGAAGTCCAAACTCAGGAGTTTACATTTGGTATCAGAGGGGTCTTGCAGGTGAACTTGCAGGGAAGCGTGGTGGATTGTAAGCAACCAAAGGGAACGATTCGAGAGACGGTCCATGGGGTTCAAATATAGAGGGAAACGGCCCATGAATAAGAGTGCACCCCCTTTTCCAATTGGTTAAGGGTCTTGGGATGTAAGCAACCAAAGGGAACGATTCGAGAGACGGTCCATGGGGTTCAAATATAGAGGGAAAGGGCCCATGAATAAGAGTGCACCCCCTTTTCCAATTGGTTAAGGGTCTTGGGATATTTGGGGTTAAGCGTCTTTGGGTTTAAATAGTACTGGGCTGGGTGACCTCCCGAGAAGTCCAAACTCAGGAGTTTACAATGAAATGCCTCAGCTATAAATGCGGGACTATTATCTAAAAGAATCCGGTCTGGACAAGAATGCTGGAACACCACTCGATTGAGGAGGAAGTATTCAACAGTAGTTGCAGAGGTGCTAGCAAGAGCACCAACTTCCACCCAGCGAGTTAAGTAGTCAAAAACAATAATAACATACTCATTATCAGCAGTCGACCGTGGAAAAAATCCCATAAAATCAAACACCACCAACTTAAATGGACGGGAAACTACAATTGACTCCAACTGTCTTTCCGCAGCATGAGGAGGAGTATTACGAGCTTAGCACCAAATGCAGCTACGCACATACCGGATAATATCACGTCGCATCTCCGGCCAATAAAAAGACCTACACAGCTTCTCGGTTACATGACAATGTCCCATATGGCCAACTAAAACAAGAGAATTAT